TAGTACGAGTGTAACACTAGTGCAACAAATAAAATCCACTATTAGAAAATTATAAAAATCAAAGACATCTAATTATGTTTAAATATTGATAATTTTATATTCTTAGCCCCTTCACGAGTGTTCATTGAATTTGAAATACTTTTACAATATTTATAAAGTTGTGTTCTCAGTAATAAGTTTAAAATATATTCTCTATGTTCTTTACATTCTGAATTTACATTCTGCCATTCTGGCAAATCTTTGGTAATTCGTCTTTTAATTTTATTGGTCATAATGTTAATAATTCTTTTTGTTAAACATTTATGTACATGACGGGAAAACAAATTTAGGCTTAACCAAGTGAATGAAACTAATAACTCAGTAGGAGTTTTTAGTCGAGATTCATTATTTATATAATAGTTTTTGTAAAAAATTAAAAGCTCTTGTTTATTTGAAATATTTTCTTTTCCCTCTAATGTATCCGAACAAGATTGACATTTGTATTTTTCAATGCATTTCTTTGCCAAATACCCAGCAAAGTATGACGTAGAACACATTTCTAAATGGAACAGATCTTCAGAATATTGAACATTGGCTTCGTCTGAAACCGTGGAAGAATCTGTATCAGTTCCCTTTTGGGACAGTAATTCTTCCTCTACCCCTATAGGTATATTTTCAATAGTATCATTTAAATCGAATAAAATATCATCACCATCATCATTAGTTCCTGAATTAGCAGTAGTTGGTGGTCTCAAAAGATTGGTTACTAAATTCGACTTAAATGCAAATCTAAATGATTTTACCGTAGGATTCCTGTTATAACCACCTTTCTGGCGGTAAATTGAAAACTGATTTTCGAGACAATCTTGGATTAATCGACCTGTAAATAAATAAGAAAATCCTTTGGCTTTTTGACTGTTAAAAATCATTTTGATAGAATTTATTGTCAATAGGAAGCAGTCAAAGCTGGGAGGTCTTTTCAGATTTCCCTTTTTATCAACTTTATATAGTTCAGACAATAGATTGTAGCCCTCGTCCATTGCTTTCCAAACGTCTCTATTTTTGTCACTAAGGACTCTGTTGCATGGTTTTGTTGAGTAGAATTGGCTACTATTTAAAGCATCAAAGAGGTCATTAATAGTTTTTACAAAATATGCTGTATGTTCAGCTGTATTA